GTCGGGCGCCACCTGTCCACACACCCCCTTCCCCGCGTTGCCCGCGCGCTCGGTCCCCGGCCTTCCCCGGGGCGCGGAGTTTTGCAGGAGGCCGTCGATGCTGGGGCGTGTGAGTGTGTGTGCGCGTGTTAACGATCGCTTTGCTGCCGTCGTGCAACAGTTGTGTGGAGCTGGTCAAAGACGCCATCGTCTTTGCTAACTCCCAAGAAGGCCCTTTTCAGGTCCTGCGGTTTCTGACGACAGTTCTGGGTAGCTCGCGAAAGAAATGCAAAAGATGCGGGGGTCTCAAGGCACGGAGACGGTTTCGGTCCCCAAATGATAGTATTTTTTATGTGTATCTGTTTTTACTGCAGTTCTGCGCTCCCAGGGGCGGCGAGGGGCATGTAGAAAAAGCCCGTGGCAAATCTCACCCACTGGAGAGAGTCCATTAACAATTTCAGATTATCGGTCCCTTCTTTTTGAGAATGTATAAATTCATGTACTTGATTTATATGCGTGCTTAACGTACGCGGGGGTGTTCATTTTCTGTTCTTTTCACTTAATACATCGAGGACTTTTCTGTATGCTCTGAAACCAAAGCGTAAAAGGCTAGCAAGAAACTCGTTGAAAATTTGATTACGTATCACTGCAGTAGCCAGCCTATTGGCTGGAAGAAAGCTGAAATCAGGGTAGCAACCAGTTTCTATAAAATATTGTTTGCTCTGCCTAATAATTTGGGGCACTGTTCTTCACACTGCAGTTTTCTACAGGTTAGTCAATTGTCAAATTGATTTAATTATTCATGACTAACATTAAAAAAATGAATTAAGATAACATAGAAAGTTCCAGAATGTACAGTACTAGGGTATTGTTTTGTGAAACCTTAAAAAAAAAACTGCGTATGCGTGTGTGTGCGTGCATGTGTGTGTGTGTGTGTGTGCTTGCGCGCACCTCTGCGCGCGCGCGCGCGCGCACGCTCTCAAGCACTGGGTTGTAATATAAAAATGGTATTGCTTCTTATGGTCTCATGCTAAATAAACTTAAAGTCATTAAAGTACTTTAAACATTCAGAATGAGATAAACGATGGAATTAAACTAAATGTTAATTTTATCCTTCCTTCTTTTTGGAGTAGTAGCATTGTGTATTGCACCAAATTTGGTTGTTTATTATTTGTTTTCTTCTAATATTAAAACAATGATTTCTAAATTATTCTAAAATATTTCTAAAAAAAAAAATCAAGAAACGTTTTATGGAACCGAAGCCCCCTTTGCTCAGAGTCACCAGCCACCCCGGGTTTGGTGTGAGACCTGGAACAATATCTCTCCTCTTTCTAAATGTCGTCGGTTTGCCTCCTATCTTTGGATAAGATAATGCATATAAAGCTGTTGACAGCATGCCTGGCTCAGATTAAGTGCTCACGGTTAGCTATTATTATTTTATTAGGACCCAATGGAAGTGTCCAGGATGCTTGTCGCCATCGGGAAGCCAGCATAGCATGGATAATCCAAAAGGAAAAAAAAAAAGCAAAGGTGAAAATTAGCTGATAGTGTTATATGAAGGAAGTGACACTAAATTAAAATATGGTCTTTTTAAATATATGGCTTGGCCATTGTTAAGGTTATGATTGTTTCACATATTTCCTACTGCTAGACAGCTAATTTAGATTGTGGGGTTTGTTTGAAATTTAACTTTTTAATTTATTTTTTGTTTTTGAGACGGGGGTCTCCCTCTGTAGCCCTGGCGGCCCTTGAATTCACGATCCTCCCGTGCCAGTCTCCCAGATGCAGGGTTTTAGGTGTGCACCACCATAAACAGCTCAGACGGTTTTATTTAAAAATCAGATACCCTTCCATTGTCTTTTCTTATTTATTTATTTATTTATTTTTATTGCGTTGATGTCCTTTGTCAGGCAGTTGGGAAGTATTTCCCATGAGGATTCTGAATTTTGCTAGTTCTCGTCACAGGGACACAGCTGGAAGACAGGTATAGCGCCAGACAGTGTCACTGGGTTATCTCGTCGTCGCCCAGTACGCATCTGAGATGTGCGAGAGGTGGTTTTTTTTTTTTTTTTTTGTTTTTTTGTTTTTGTTTTTTTTTTTTTTTTATAAAAAAGAAGCAGCAGCAGCAGCAACAGCAGCATCCCATGCAATTCAGATATCTGTTCAGTGCCCTAGACTGGTTTATACAATTTTAGATGTTACAAAAACCAATGAATGAAGAGTGTAAACATTGTCATTAAAAATAGTATTAGAATTTTTATGAAAAATGGTCTGCTTTGGACTAAAAAAAAAGGCGTTTCTTTCAAAACTATAGCGGGGTGTGACATCTGTAAGAGGTTGGGAAAAATGGAAAACAATCAAATCTTGGATTTGAAAATGTATTTAGGCTCTTGTGTTACAGCAGTAAAAGGGAGGCTTACTGGGAGTGAATCACGTTGGTTTGTGAAAGAAATATGGCTTGAAGTACAGGTTAATTTCCCCCCCTCCCCTCAAAAAGACAAAAACCTCTCTAAACATCGAAGCAAAAAAGAAAAAGAAAACATCTAACCCGATTTTAAACAAATACATATATGTTTTAAATCAAAACACTAAGATTATGTATGTATGTGTTTTAAAAATTGTTGGCTCACCAACGACTGGTTTTTATCTTGTTGAGTGAGAGGTTTTTGTCTTGCACAAATAAAATGAGGGACTAAGCAGCAATCCAACATTGCATTTTGGAGTTCTACGTAATGGCGTGGAAAGGTGCTTATCCTTACGCGTTTAGAGGAAAGCGGAGGGTGACAGATTGGAGTGCCCCATATCAGTCCCTTTCTGTAAAAATGACAAATGGTAAGATAGGGTCGCAGCTTATATTTATATTTATTTACTTGTTTTTACCATTGTGCAACAGAAATGTCTTGTATTAAAAAGGATATTTTAAAGTGAAAAATAGCGTGTATTTTCTTGTTACACAATTTCTTTAAAACATTAATATACCTCTTGTAAAAAAAAAAATCCTACTCTAAATTTTCTTTTGGTTGGCTTTTGAATATGTCCACACTCACCCTACTTTTTCTGTTTTGCTGCCCCGTCAATTCTCAAATCAAACCTTTGTTTCACAGAACTTACTAATTCAGTCTCTCCAAATGCACTTGACGCCTCTTTGTTTTTATACCTATGTTCGTCCATTTGCTTCTTGGACTATTTTTTCCTAACCCTATTGTAAGTAAATTTTACTCATTCACAAAATTTGGTTAAAAACAATACCCGCCTTTATATCCTTAATCACTAGATTTCTCAGTTGATCTTGATAACTTGACCCATTATCACATTTTTATTATTGGCAGTAGTGGATCCAGTCCAAGCCTCTCGCATGCCAGGCAAGGGCTCCAGCACGCAGGCTTACTCTGCCTCATGCGTACTATTTTTACTTCGTCAGTTCTCAGATACCACTTCACACTTTTGCATTGGTTTGCCAGTTCCATCTTACACTCCTCGGTGGCAGGAGAGCTTGTGTTCATCCCCCAAAGCTCCCAGGACAGGGTTCTGTACCAGGCAGGTGCCTGACAACATATGCTTGCGTCGTAAGAAATGGTTTTTTATCGGTTCTTTTGAAACTAAATGTTGGAATTTTTCTTTACAAGTGGTCCTGGGTACAGGTTAACACTTGACCCATAATTACAAGGAATTTTAAAAACCTCGATCATTCTGCATAATTGTCTGCTGATACAGATGGATGATAAGAAGTGACAATTATTTTTTTTTTTTAATTAAAACTAGTATGGTAACTGAGAATTAGGTACCAGGACCAAACTTACGTTTCACGCGTGTGTGTTTTCCTTTCAAAATTTCACCAGAAGCCTACTTTGGTTTTGGGCAATTTTTGTTTCCCTTAACTTGCTGAAGGCACAGGTGTGCCTTCCCTTCTTTTACAGCTGTTGTTCCTGCAGCCCAGAGAGCCAAGTGCATGGGGGCTTGGTGGGTCCACAGTCTCTGCTCTGCCTTTTGGGGAGGTGTATGGTAGTATGTAAAGTGCTTTGTGTTCAGAATTTAATATTTTCTCCTGTTACTGAAAATAATTGTGTTACTTTTCAAATACCAGTCTGACTAGGGAGTGTTTGCTCAGTCAACTATAGATGTGAGACTTACTGTCTAAAGAGTTGTTTTATTTTAATTTACAGACGCTTGTCCAGATTGATGCAGCTGAAGACCTACCTGATCTTTTCTACTCAAGGTAATCCACTTGTTAATTTAAAAAAAAACAAGCAGTCAATCAACCTGGTTCTAGTAGAATTCAAATCTATATAAAAAGACCTATTGACCTATGCAAAGCAGTATAATTCTAGACCCTGGATAAATGATCCTTTTAATAATTAAACTTTTATTAGTTCATAAAAAATGTACTGATGTTCTTGGGTCAATTTAGAATCAGCTTGAATATTTTAATTGTGTAATATATGTGTGTTGTCTTCCTACTCCAAAGGGATTGGATCTGGTAAGTTGTAGGTGAGGTCCTGGAATGTTAAATTTAAAAAATGTCAGCACGTGCTTCTGATCTGTTGTAACTCACCGTGGCGTGAAAGGTGATGGAAACGGCAGCTGCGGGAGCCCTAGAGTTCAAGGCTGTAAGCTTTCATATTTGTGTATGTGACGTTACACTCCTTCTGCCTTCATTTAGTGAATGTTTTAATTAGATAGTAAGTGCTTAAAACATTTGTTATTTTATAATTTTCAAAGTTTAGTTTTATGTTCTAGGATTCACTTAGGATAAAAATTGTCTTATCTACAAATAAAACTATGAGCTTTGTCCTGTTCTCTGGTTTTTTCAGTTAATAAATGAGGTAAATTAATGGGGGGGGGAAAGATCCACTTTTAAAATTTCACATATATTATTTCAGATGTTGGTTTAATTGATTTATTTTCACTATAAGTGTGGGAAGTCAGAAAAGCAATGGTTCTCAGTACAGAGTGATAGGTAAGTGAATATCATGATGGGGTGTTGACTTGACAAAGCTTTTGCTCATTTTATTAGTTTTGAGGTAATTTAATTTTTCAACCATTGGTTTTAATAGTTACACCTTTTACATTGTGGAATAATCTTACTCAGAAGTACAGAGCCAGGCTTGGTGGCACAAGCCTGAAATCTCAGTGCTTGAGATGCTAAGGATTAGGAGTCAAAAGGCAGCCCGGGCAATACATCAAGACTGTTTCCACCTTCTCCCTCTAAATACAGCACATTGAATGATTCTGTTGTATATATCCCAACAGACAAGAATGTTTAAATAATTAGAATTAAACTTTTCACTTTTAACAAAACAGCAAGTCCACTGCGTTGAATTTATTAAAATAGCTGCAACGGTGCGTGTGCGTGTGCGTGTGTGTTGCCAACAAATTAATTGGCTATGTGTGGAGATATCTAGGGAATCAATCTCTCTTTTAGCAGAGTAAATGCACATTCATTTAGAAAAGTAAGAGAGAACGACAGACAGTGGTAAGGACTTCAAGAGAGGAACACCTTTTTATTTTATTTTTGCAAAGCAGCAGGGGTTTCTTTAGAGGCAAAGTACAAGCACAGAAGAGATACACTGTAGGGGAGCAGTGTAAGACTTACTCTGAAGCCCCCCTTTAAACAGCATGGCAAATCTTTAAAAATGCTGAATCCTAGGTGCTAACTCAATTCTACTGATTCAGAATTTGGGGAATGATTTTAGCATTCAGCTTGATTTTGAACTTTGGTATATTATGGAAGACTTAATAGTTTTAGGTACATAAAAACTAGTAAACCATTTATTGGTCAAGAAATCTCAAAAGGTACTACTAATAAAAATTCTCAATTGTTTGTGGTTTATACAGTTAGGAAAGTTTTGATTCAGAGACCACGTCAGTTGCTCTTTATATTTTTAGCAACTCTGATAAATTATAATAGAAGCTTTGAGCTGAGCATAAACTGCCACATGACATCTTTACTCTTATGATAGAGAATTAGATGCTCTCTATGATACCACAAGTTCAGATAACCTGGAGTTTTTGTTATAAGAACTCGGGAAAATAGTCTTTCAGAAGGGTTTAGTAAGTATATTATAGTAATATGGTTTTTAGAAATCTAGTGCTGTATTATTTCATGTGGAATAATTTTCTAGTAACTCAGAGCTATAGAAAATTGATAAGAACCTTCATTGTCTTCAGATAACTGCAGCAAAGTGCTCTTTCCAGTGATGCATATTGACTCAGTAGCTCATGTCTGCTTTGTATTTTTCTCCTCATCAATAGAAACAGGGCAGGTGGAAGTTAGGCATGATAGTGCATGCTTATTATTCCCGTGCTCACGAAGTCGAGGCAGGAGGATTGCGATTTCCAGGCTAGTCTTGGATTACATAGTGAATTCTAGGTCAGCTTAAGGTATATAGTGACATCCTGCCTCAAAAAACAAACAGGAATGATTTTGAGCTATTTTCCTAATAGTAATAAGGAATTATTGTTTATTATTATTATTATTATTATTTTTATTGCTTCTTTTTTCTTCCTTTGTAGTTTGACCATTTGAGCTCAGCCAGTAGCCTCCTGACTGACTAGTTAAGATGCAGAAAAGACAAGGGTACTGCAGCTATTGCCGTGTGCAGTATCCTAACCTGGAACAGGTGAGAGGTTCCCCACACGATCACACTCAGCACCTTAGATGGGAGTTTCTCTTTTCCATTTGAGTAGCTTGGCTCATTCATTCCCTGAATGGACTTTGTTGAGAATCTGCTGGTTCGCAGATACTGCTTAAGAGTATGAGACTATGATCACAAACAAAAACAAAAAAATTTTTTTCATAGAGTTTACAGTATAGTTTAGTAAGACAGAAAATAAGTAATCATATAATTTTAATACATAATATGTCAAATTATGATTAGTTTTATGAGGAAAAGAAGGTAAACGAGAGAGTGTTGGTTAAGTAGAATGGCCAGATAAGGCTTTTTTTTTTTAAAGTGACATTTGAATTGGCATTTGAAAGAAGTTCAGTGCCAGGTTTGCATATATATGGAGGAAGAGTTCAGGCAGAGGAAATACCCTGAAGGAGAAGAGTACTCTGACCGGAGTCAAGAGGCCAGTATGACTCCAGTGGAATTTGGACGATAGGTGCCAGGTACCAGGTGAAAAAGGGAGGGTAATAGAGTCTGTAAAACTCAGTAGGTTCCTGGGCACGGGGCTGCCTGCCCTTAATCCCAGCACAGAGCGGTAGAGGCAGGTGTACAGTGAGATCCTGTCTCAGGAAACGTACAACCATCCTTGTAGGTTAAGGTGAGAACATTGACTTTTATGCCACTGAGGTTGGTGGCCGTCATAGCACTATGAAAAGGGTAACTATTACCGAACTCATATTAAGGATCTTTCTGGATGCTGATGAGAACGGTTGGTATGGGGGTTCTTTCCTATTTATTTTGTTGCAGTGTAATTCTTTCATTATAAACTTCCCCCCTTTAAAGTGAAATTCAGTGACTTTTAGTGTATACACAAAGTGATATATTGTCTAATTTTCATCTTTAAAAGGAAACCACATACCCACCGAACTGTACCCTTGGATCTCTAACCTCTAGCAACCACTAATCTACTTTCTGTTTCAAAATATTTGACTATCCTGGATATTTCCTCAAAATGGAAGCATATGCTTGTGACTTTTGTGCCTGACTTTCCATTTAGCCTAATATATTCAAGGTTCATTCATATCATAGCATTATGATACCTCATTATGGCTGAATAATATTCCATTATAAAAGTAATATCACATTTTATTTATTCATTCAACAATTGATGGATGCTTAGGTTGTTTTTACTTTTTTTGGCTACCATGAATATTGTTGCTATGGATATTTGTGCATAATTTTTTTTGTGTGAACATACATTTTCAGTTCTCTTGGGTATATATGTAGGAGTGGAATTGTTGGGTCATATGATAACTTTTTTTTTTTTTTTGAGGAACTGCCTCACTGTTTTCCAAAGTGGCTCTAGTATTTTATGTTACCTCCAGCAATGCATGAGGGTTCCAGTTTCTCCTCATCCTTGCCAGCACCTTTCTCTCTCTCTTTTTTTTTTTAAATTATAGTCCTTTTGTAGATGTGAAGTGATATCTCATTGTGACTTTGATTTGCATTCACCAGTGTCATTAAGCATGTTTTCATGTGCTTATTGGCTGTTTGTGTACATGCTTTGGACAAATGCCTATTCAGAGCCTGTGTCCATGTTTTAGTCCGTTTTGTCTTTTTTATTTATAGCCAGCCTTTCTTCTGGCTAGCAGACCTTTGTGAAACAATGTGATTGTAATACTTTGTCCTACTTCTGTGGCTTGTCTTTCTACATTGTTGATGGTATGCTTTGATGCGAAAACATTTTAAATTTTGCTAGGTGTGGCAATGCTTGCCTGCATTCCCACAATTTAGGAGCTGAACGCAGGAACATTACAAGTTCCAGGCTGGTTTGGACTACATAGTGAGATCTGTTTCTCCCTCACGCCCCCAAACAATTTCAGTTTGTTTATGTTCTCTTTTCAACATGGAAGACAGTTCTTATGTGCAGCCCAGGCTGGTCTCAGGCTTGAGGAGTCTTCCTCTTTCACCTCCTCAGTGCTGACTGCAGCTCTGTACCACGGAGCCTTTCTTTGTGTTGTCTTTGATGAAAGATTGCCCAGCCCAACATCATGAAGATTTATGCCTGTATTTTCCTCTTAAGAGTTTCATAGTTGCTCTTATAATTAGGTCTTCTGTTCAATTTGAATTAATTTTTATATAGATGAGAGATGGAATCCAGTTTCATTCTTTGGCTTGTGATATCCAGTAATCATTAGACTCTCAGTTGGAAAGAGTAGTCTTTCCTATTCAGTTGTCACATCTGCTGAAAAATCAACTACTTAAAATTGTAAGAGTTTATTTCCTTGTTCTCAGTTCTGTTCTATTGGTCTACATGTGCATCGTAATGCTAGTACCATAGTCTTTTTAAAAACAACATTTTAAACTGGCATATAGTAATTGTATGTACTTATCAGATAATTGTGTGATATTTCAGCACATGTATACAATATGTAATGATCAGATCATGATAATTGGCCTGTCATCTCAGACATGTATTATTTCTTTGTACTAGGAACATTCTCTCTGCTCTTTTGAAATAGACAGTTAATGTATATCATTATATGGTAAAGTAAACCATAGTTACTATTCCTATTCTGTAGAACATTAGAAGTTATTCCACTTATTTACCTGTCCTTCATCCCCATTAACCCTCCTCTTCCCATCCTTCTGTCCTTGTCAAGCTTGGGTGACCACTCTATTCACTCATCCGTCTGTGGACACATGTAGTGATTCCTTTTTTGGCCATTGTGAATATTCTAGAGTAAACGGAAGAATGCAGATGTTGCCTTGGCATACAGATTTTATTTCCTTTACATATGCATCAGTAGTGGGATTTTCTATTATAAGAGGTTCTGTTTTTAGTTTTCCAAGGAACCTCTGTCCTGTTTTCTGTAATGGTTCTACATTTAACATTAGTCTTATAGTAGTGCTCCGCCTTTGCCACATCCCATTATAACTTGCCATTTTAAAAATCTTTTTCTTAGTAGCCCTTCTTACAGGATTGAGAAGATAGCTTATTGTCTTGATTTATATTTACTTGATGATTAATGATATCAAACTTTTTCATATATTGGTTCGCTGTTTGTATATTGTATATTATCTTTTAGATATGTCTATACAGGATATTTGCCCATTTTCAAAACAAATTATATTTTGCTGTTGAGTTGTTTGAGTCCCTTATATATTCTAGAATGAATCCTTTGGGTGGCTAGATAGGGTGGCTCATGCCTTCTCAGCAGTTAGGAAGTGTAGAAGCAAGAGTATCAGGAGATGAAGGCTAGCCTTAGCTACATAATGAGTTTGAGACAAGGCAGAGATACATGAGATCATATCTCAAAAAAACCACTGCCACCACCAAAAACCAATAGTAAAGTCTGGTGAAGTAGCTTGATGGAACACATGCCACACAAACTTCAGGACTGAGTTTGGATCTCTAGAACACTGTAGAGCAAGTCATGGTAGTGTGCTTCTGTACTTGGAGCGCTTCTGTGCCAAGATAGGAGGAGGCAAGGCAAAGAATGATGTGTGGCAGTGAACAAGTACTGGGCAGAGACCCTGTCTTAAAACAAAGTAGAAGGAGAGAGCTGGCACCTGAGGTTGTCCTCTGACTTCCATATGTGCACCATGGCATGTTCATGCCTCTTATGTTTTCTTCTAGTAGTTTCATAGTTGTGGGTCTTAACACTTTCGAGGAGTGTGTCTTAGTTATTGTTCCATTGCTGAGAAGACACACCATATCCAAAGCAGATCTTCATTTTATTATTTATTTACTTATTTATTCATTCATTCATTCATTCATTCATTTACTTTTGGTTTTTTGAGACAGGGTTTCTGTGTGTAGTTTTGGTGCCTGTCCTGGATCTCACTTTGTAGACCAGGCTGGCCTCGAACTCACAGAGATACGCCTGGCTCTGCCTCCCAAGTGCTGGGATTAAAGGCGAATGCCACCACTGTCCAGCCTGAAAGCAACTTTTTTTTTTTAAAAGATTTATTTATTATGTATACAATGTTCTGCCTGCATGTATGCCTGCAGGCCAGAAGAGGGCACCAGATCTCATTACAGATGGTCGTGAGCCACCATCTGCAGGTGCTGGCAATTGAACTCAGGACCTTTGGAAGAGCAGCCAGTGCTCTTAACCTCTGAGCCATCTCTTCAGCCCCCTCAAAGCAACTCTTATAAAAGAAATCATTTAATTAGGGGCTTGCTTACAGTTTTAGAGAGTTAGTCCACTATCATCATGGTGGGGGAGTTTGTTTGTTATGTGTATTCTCCTCAGTTTCACTCTTTTTTTTTTTTTTTTTTTTTAGAATTAAAGAATTAAAGATTTATTTATTTATTATGTATACAGTGTTCTGCCTGCATGTATGCCTGAAGGCCAGGAGAGGGCACCAGGTCTCGTTACAGATGGTTGTGAGCCACCATGTGGGTGCTGGGAATTGAACTCAGGACCTCTGGAAGAACAGCCAGTGCTGTTATCCTCTGAGCCACCTCTTCAGCCCAGTTTCACTCTTTTCATATTTTGTAACTTTCGTTGTAGAGATTACTTATGTCTTTGGTTACTTCATCCTTAGGTGGTATTATTATTATTATTACTACTATTGATAGCTTTCTTGGTAAACTTTTAGCAATATGTAGAATAGCTGCTTTTTGCATGTTTTTGTTGCTCCTGTGGAGGACCTGGGTTTGGTTCTCAGTACCTACATGGCTGTAACTTCACTTTCAGGGGGTCTGGCACTCTTGTCTGGTCTCCATGTGTACCAGGCATACATGTGGTGCACACACATACATGCAGGCAAAACACCTATACACCTATAAATAAATCTTTTTATTTTTTTAAAGATTGCCATCTACAAATGAATAATTTAACACATGTGCATGTAGGTAACTTTTAGTCTATTTCTGCTGTTTGCTATTTATTTCCTCTTACTGCTATGAGTTTGATATGTTCTTAATTCTTTGTTTGTTTTAGATTTATTTATTTTATATATATGTGAGTGCTTTATCTGCATATATGACTTTATGCCAGAAG